TGGTTTTCTATGGAATGACAACTTTTTCAGTGCAGTAACTTATTTAAGTATACCTAGCTTCTATGAAAAATTCGGGACGTCTCCAACAGCCCTCAAACAGACGAGTCGTTTCGAAATAATAAAATTTGATTTGTTTGCTCTCGACTTTTAAATGTAATAGAATTATCGAGCTCAAAATATGAGCTTTAGATAGCGATCAAACTCAAGCTCTAAGGAGAGAAAAACTTGATACCCTGATTGCTTAAGATGATTGCTTAGGATAACTGTAATTTTCACAGAATACCGCTTATTTATCCTTACATAACTTACGCTTGCTGACTTGAAAGATATTTGAGGTTCTCTGTTTCTAAATAGTCTTCAAAAGTGCTTAAACCGTAATAGCGATGCTCCACCGCAAAAAGTAGGCCACCATACTGCTCAGCCAGTTCCACAATATTCCCTAAAAAATTTACAGAGTATACTACTTTGATAGAAAAATAATTTTCAGGAACAAGACAATTCCGTAGACAGCCTCCCTCCTTACCCGAGTCTGAACCCCTCACCCCAACTCACCCACCCATGACATTACTTTGAAAAATATGTCATGACATTTTCGCGACTGTAATGCCTTCAGTTTCGTCAAACGGCGCCCGCAAAACTGCACTCTAAGCTGACTCCTCTTTTGAGGGAAGTCCCAGCTCACGAGGGTAACAAAATGAAGCGCTCTTGTCGAATGATACCTGTAATAACCTGGAGCTTGAAGGGACATTTTCTTAGTTTCACTTTAAGCAGTCAAAGTGAAAGACCATATTGTTTACTTTATAAACGTTTAGTCAGATAATTAAGTATTATTATTTCTCGACGAAACGAATAGCTTCGAAAGCCTGCTAGTTTGTCACTGCCTCCTTTTTCAGGTTTTATAATGGACTAGTTTTAAATAAAACTCGTAAACTAGCAGTGCAGAATACAGACTGCAACATGCCATGCATTTAGGCGGAAGTTTTGGAAAAATACCAGAGCTCAATATAGCTTTGAAACAGATTAATCCTACCATAGTCTATATCAGCTTGAGATAATTTTCCCTCTCCTCCGATGTACAAGAAGACTGGTCCATCTTCCTTTCTCCAGTACTTAGTATTTACCATGTAACGTTGTTTGAATGTCTTCTGTGACGGCTCAAAGTGATCCAGTGGTTGTTCCAATGTGAATTCTTCGATTGGATCGTGTCGAGCGTACAGCGAATGTTGATGTTCACGCACATACTCGCGGATCTTGTAAGATATTTCGGTTTGGAAACATGTGGTACGAGAAATAACGGATAAGAGCAAGAGGCATTGGACTAAAAACTTCTCCATAACAGTGACTTACAATTCAGTTTACCGTGAGTGAAATTGTCTTCCAATGCCATGCGGCTTGAAGTTCAGACTCTCCTCATGTGAGCATCTCGTGACTGCAGTATTCATGCCCTTCAGAGCGTGACTATTAGTCACGCAATCGATCCCATGTCAGAATTGTACGCTATGTAACTCTACGGTTATTTCTCAGAAAAACACGCATGTACCGCCTACAAAACACATACAGGAGTGTGAGGTACTCATTCCTTGTTCGCCTAAAACTCTGACGGTAACTTTTTCTTTGCTTCTGGCTAAGAATCAGCGGCTGCAATGTTTGACATAGTTAGGTAAGCGTTTTTTTTTTTTTTTTGTTATGTTTTGGTTGCGAGTGATACCATCTGTTTACATTTCCTCTGATAAAGAGTGAAGAAAAAAGCGCTTACGGTGCCAAAATAACTCCGAAAAAAATTTATTACAGAATTTCATGAAATGAGCACCCTCACTTGATTAAGCGCCCATTTACTAAGCCATAACATCAACCACGCGTCCCGCTTAAGTAATCATCCCCCTTAAACCCTTCCTCACTTTTTTAATCAGTAGGGATACACGGAAAACCGGTTTCTATTGCCACTCAATTTACACCTTTTTGAGCTTTAACTTCAGATAACTCAGAACAGGAGAATAGTTTCTTTTTCGTTCCAGTTATTTCTATCACCATGTGCTTGAAGAGTTCCTTAGTGTGCGTTCTCTGTTCTCTTAGTTTTGTCCCATAGTTGTGCCAAAGAGACACCCCTTGATTACACGCCCTCCCTCCAATGAGCACCCATCCTTTCAGCCGAAACTTTAAATAAGTGCCAGGGCACTTATTCGAGGAAACATGATTAGTAGTAAACGAGGTTTAGGTTCATGTTGATGTACATAAAATTACTTAGAAAGCAGTACAGTAGATGAAAAAGTCACGGCTGACAATGAACAATCTGAATTGTTCGGGAATCCATAGCCGTTTTTTGAGTAAGTAACTTTGTAACTCATTAATTTACGTTCCTGTTCTTTTTCAGTATCTCAAGAATCAATTGCCTCTAGCAATATTTTTAAAAGCCTTAAAAAATGACCCTCGCATTTTACCAGGTCAATTTCATGTATTCACTTGCACCTTTTTCTAATATGAACTATTGTGGATCAACAAAGAAGCCGAAAAATTGGACCCAAGTAAGGCTACTTAAAACAGTCAGATATGAAAATTGGTTGATAATTATGTGGCTAAAATTATCAACGAACATTTGAACATCACGAATTTAAAGTACACGCGACGGGGGTTCCCCTTCATTTACTTCACTAAAAAGCTATCAACGAACATTTTCTGGCTAATAAGAGAATATGAATTTCAAGTACATAAAATCGAATTTCCCTTCATTTACTCCATTATAGGGCTATCAACGAACATTTTTACGCTGATAAGGGTACGAATTTCAAGTACATGTACATAAAGTGAGATTCCCCTTCATTTATTTCCTTTCGGGCGAAATTACTGATAACACTTGAGTGAAAGTTCGGCGGTATCCAGTACATTTGTAACCTGGTTAACGTACCGTTACCCAAAAAGTGATAATCTATAGTCTTCTTTAACCCTCGAAACTGGCAGCCTTGGACATGTCAGCCAGGTTGGTTTCATTTCCATAAATATTACTATAAACAGTCATTGAATCGTTAATTTAAAATGTCACTTCATTTGATGCAGTTGTTAGTTTCCAAAAACTGAGTTAGTAAACTCTGTATTATCGTTTTGTTCAATCTTTCGTTAGTTATTGATTATTACTGGTCAGGTCAGGTACAGGACAGATCAGAGAGATCCCACAGAAAGAAGACCTGTTCCTACTTGGAGACTTCAACGCCCGGGTAGGCTCAGACCACAACTCATGGCCGCGATGCATAGGACACTTCGGAGTGGGCAAGCTTAACGAGAACGGACAGCGGCTACTTGAATTCTGCACTTACCATGGTCTGTGCATCACCAACACCTTCTTCTCCACTAAACCGCAGCACAGAGTGTCCTGGAGACACCCCAGATCCGAGCACTGGCACCAGTTGGACTTCGTCATCACCAGGAGGTCCCTGCTCAACCACGTGCTCATCACTCGCACCTACCACAGTGCAAGGTGCGTCTCCAGCCCAAGCGCATTCATCACTCCAAACAGCAAGGACGCCCCCGTATTGGCACCGCCAGAGTTTCACTCCCAGGACCGCGTGAGCGCTTTGCCGAGACCATGGAGAAAGCCTTAGAGGACTGCCCAACTGACAGTGCCACAGCGCGATGGAACTACATCCGAGACGCCATGTATGAGGCGGCCTCAGACGCCTTCGGAATGCGGGAGAGAAAAAGTGAAGACTGGTTCGAGGTGGGGATCAAGGAGATGGAGCCCGCCATCACTGCCAAGAGCACCGCACTCCTCGAGCACAAGAAACAGCCCTCCAAGGAAACACTGGCTGCCTACAGAGCTGCTCGCAACAACGTCAAGAGGATTGCTCGCAAGTGTGCAAATGACTACTGGCTCGACCTGTGTCACAGCATCCAAATCGCCTCGGACTGTGGCAAGCCGAGTTGAAGAGGGAGAGCCAGTGGGAGGTGAAGAGGACTCGCAGGCGACAGAGGCTCCAGTCTGCCCCCATTCCACCAACCCCCACAAATGACTTTACCTGCGCAAAATGCCAGCGGGTCTGTGGCTCCCGCATTGGGCGCTTCACAGCCACAGCCGGCGGTGCAGCTTGACGTGATTTTACTTCTTAGGTGCAGATTTCCATTGTCTTCCGAGACAGACGGTTGCCAACAGTTACATAATAAGTTTGTTCAAAGACGTGTATAAGAGATTGGATTTCGATCATTGTTACTAGATATCAGTTTGTTCTTAAATGCTATCGCTGTCAGTTATTTGCTATCATTAGGAGCTGACCAAAGTAAGTCTTTATCTCTTCTGCATTTACGATGTTTAACTTTTGTCTGTATTATTGGCGTTGTTGTCGTATTCAGCTTTCTGTGCAATTGCTTCATTTTTAGTTAGGTTAATGTAACATTTCGCAACGCATTTTTCTTAGTTTAGTTTCTGTTGTATTTTCTCTGAGTTCCTTACCATACCATACCATACAACCTACGTCTCAGCACTATCTTCTACAATCACTAAAGATCGCTTCACATTCTATATGCGTTAGAATTGTCTACTCTTCCGCTTAGGCAACCTTTTAAGGTTACAGCAGTCGCCGATTCTCTAATAGTTGTAGATGCGCAAATTTACTTACATCGCATTATTTTTAAAGATCAAAGGTGACCATCGTCCTAAATATAACGATAACGAAAATGATGCATTTGTACAGCGCACTCTCCATATCAAAATGCTTTACTGTGCTTTGCAACACTTTGCAGTCATGTGTTATTAGCGGAGCTACTGCTAAAACATGCGAAAAATAAAATTTTTACCTTACAAAATTTTAAATAAATTTAAATATTTACATATCATTCAACAAGCTGCTGGAAAATTGTGCGCCCTAGCAATCTCCGTGCAAAGCTTCTCAAAGTTGTCGTTTCCTGTTGTCTTATGAAGATTATAACTTATGATATTTGTCCTTAAAATTGACCATAAACAGAACAAGAACTTTAAATTAAAATTTTTTAATTATACTGTAAGTCCGATAAAATGATATCTATAGTAAGAGTTAAAAACATTATACGTCCGTTTTTCTAGCATCTGGATACATTAGTTTTTCCATCTCTCCGAGAGGTATACGACATGACTCAGGTAGACAGTGTCCATTTTGGATATGATTCGTCGGCTTATGGTTTTTCATGTGGTGTTCCATCTGGTAAGCAGCAAATGGGTATAACACCATGACTGCGAAGAAGTCTTCGGCTATGTTTCCGTTGATTTCGTATTTCTCGCGGATCGAGTTGCGTACCCCAGTAGCATAGGCGAAGAAACCAAAAAGCAGAGTATATCCAACGTAGCAGATCCCTGAAAAAACGCAGAGGCGTTCCAGAACCAGCATGGAAATACAAGCGTAGAACGGTAGCGCCATGATCAGCATATGGGTCCACATTCTACCAAGTGGTTTCTCTACCATTCCAGCTGCAGTTCCCATGGAGTACCAGGGAGCAAAGATGCTGATTATTACTTTACATACGCTCTCGACGGTTGGGGTACTTAAAACATCCAGAAGTCCAGTGGTGAATTGTGGACCGTTAGGATCCAGGTCTCCAGCCTCTACTTTGACGGCCCGCCATAGTGCCACGCACATAAAGCAGAGCATGATTGTGTATGGCACTCCAGACGCGATAGAAACTGTTTGCAAGGCATTCAGTGCTTCGCCACCTCCGACGTAAAGAAGAGCAGTGGCTGTAGCACCTTCTGTTAGAGCCCAAAAGACTCGTTGTAGGACTGGTGGCTTTGGGTCGCCATTGGCTGACAGGCAGTCTATAACAAGTGAACCACTGTCAGAGCTTGTGACGAAGTAAAGGACAATGCCGATCAAGGAGAGCACGGAAAGAAAACTTCCCATGTCTCCATATTGGCTCATTACATCGAACCACATGTCATTCTTATCACGACAGGACAGGCGGAATAAACCGTTCAGAGACTCGGTAGCGTTTTTTCCGCCCTTAGGTAAGTCACATGTTATATTGGCCAGAGTAGCATCTCTTTCCATTTTAAGTCCTGCTCCTCCAAAAACGCTGAACCATAAGATTGAGAAGGCCACTGGTGCGGTGAGTGTTGCGTTGATGAACTGTCTAATGGTTCTTCCTCTGGATATCTTTGCGATGAACATGCCAACGAAGGGTGACCAAGCAATCCACCATCCCCAGTAGAAAATGGTCCATGAGTCCATCCATCCAGGTTTTTCCTTGCCATCATGTGCATTTCCAAGTTGAGCGAAGGCGTCGGTGTGGAAGCCAAGTTGGACAATAGTTTGCATGTAATAACCAGTGCTCTGGACGAGCAAGTTCAGTGTGTGGCAGGGATCGTCAAAGAAGAACACGAGCATCATAATGAACACGCCTAAGGCAAAACAAGTCTCGCTTAGGCGTCGGATGCCCATTTTTAGTCCAGTGATGACCGAGACGGTAGCACAGGCCGTTACGCACCAGATAATGATAATTTGATTCAAGGTGCTGAACTCTACTGAACTTTTTAGGCGATGGACACCGGCATTGAGCTGCATAACACCCAGTCCCAAGCTCGTACAAACGCCGAACATGGTACAAACCACTGATATTATGTCGATGGCGTCGCCCATCCATCCATAAATCTTGTCACCTATGAGGGGGTACATGCAGGAGCGCATTGTCATGGGAAGCCCTTGTCTGTATCCTACAAAGGCAAGGAGAAGGCCAACTACAACGTACACAATCCATCCGTGAATTCCCCAGTGGAATAAAGTTAAGTTGATGGAGTCTTGAGCGCGTTGATTGTCAGTGTACCTAGGGCAAAGGAATGGTTAAATAATTTAGTTGTGTAAAAAAATAGCCGAAAATTTTTGTGATTTATTCATTACCAGGGTAATGTAATCATTAAAAGGTCTTTCGCTGGACTGATTTCACTCGGCCAAATTTTTCGTAGGTCTTGCTTTCTTTTCATCTTAATATGCCGTTGTCTGTTGAATACATTTGTTTTTTCTCGTGTACAATAAGTAAGCAATAATGGTTTCTTTCCATTCAATGATGATTGGAAAGAATCACCAACCCATACACAGCTGGGCTATGGGATTGGAAAAACGAGGAACGGGGAATGGGGAATTGGAAATGGGGAATTGGAAATGGAGAATGGCGAACGGAGAACGGAGAACAGAGAACGGAGAACGGAGAACAGAGAACGGAGAACAGAGAACGGAGAACGGAGAACGGAGAACGGAGAACGGAGAACGGAGAACGGAGAACGGAGAACGGAGAACGGAGAACGGAGAACGGAGAACGGAGAACGGAGAACGGAGAACGGAGAACGGGGAACGAAGAACGGAGAACGGGGAATGGGGAATGGGGAATCTTTAAAATGTAGAATCTTTAAAATGGGGAATCTTTAAAACGGGGAATCTTTAAAACGGGGAATCTTTAAAACGGGGAATCTTTAAAATGGGGAATCTTTAAAAATGAGAATCTTTAAAAGTGGGATTCTTTAAAAGCGGGAATCTTTAAAATGGGCAATCTCTTTAAAATGGGTGGTCTCTTTAAAATGGGCAATCTCTTCAAAATGGGCAATCTCTTCAAAATGGGCAATCTCTTCAAAATGGGCAATCTCTTCAAAATGGGCAATCTTTAAAGGCGGGAATCTTTAAAAGGGGGAATCCTTAAAACGGAGAATCTTTTAAAGCTTGGAATGAAATCGACAAAATCTGTGGAAAATTTGCTCTTTTTTTCCTTTTTTACGCTTTAAAATTCAGGTCTGTCGACACAAGTAAAACTACGCGACAGTGGAAATCCCGCCTCAAGGTTGAAGTTTGCTCGACGTTACAATTCTGTTTTTGGCGGATAGCAGTGGCACTCGACATTTATTTTTTTGATTGATCTGAATGATAAGTCAGTAATTATGATTGAATAGTCTGATCTACAGCATTTTCCGTTTTGTGAAGTCAATATTAGTCCATATTAACTTGCGGCGTTCCTTTTTTGGGCAATCGGAGGAAGGGAAAAAAAGAACGCCAAATACAATTACCACACGAGTCGTCTGCTCGTAGTCCAGAATCTGGCCTTTTGTCTGATCAGTCGTAAAACATTGACGGATCAAGCAGAGGTATTTCACCTTTTTTTCACTAGAAAGTAAACATGTAAACTGCGCTCTGTCGCCTATGCGCCTCCAACAGCCGCATGAATTTCCGATAAAATCGAATTGACCCACATTTATAGTATGACACATGATAACATTGGTGTTGACGTAAGGTATGCAACGAAGGCAAAAAAAGAGCGCCTCATCGCAAGTTCAGTTGATATCGTCAATAGTACTTTAGACCTACGACTCAGAGATGGTGACAGGTAGCGCTGCAAATTACTGATTAAAAATAAGTGGGAATACATGATGCAATTTATAATATTCTGGGAAGTAACATGCAGACAATTCACGTGAGTACAAAGGAACCCGTGCACAGGTTCAATGACATTCAACAGTTGGGAGAATGTAGAGTTAAAAGATCCTCTATGTCTAATGTTAGTTTTATGATCTTTTTGTTTCTGATTTCGATTAGTTTGAATTTATTGTCAATTGTGTGACCGGTATTTTCATACATTACCATTCACCCGAAAAAATCATAGGAAAAAATATGTCCACTGCATAGAGCAAAGTACTACAACCTATAAAAAGCCAAATTCTCCCAAAGCTGTTCTAGATGGCGGGAAAACGGCAAGGAAAATATAATGACGCGACAGGCAACGTTTTGCCCTTTCCCAGTCTTGTTAATGTACGGTCAACATGATTAGTTACCTACGAGTTAATGTTGGCATACCTGAAAATTCATTTGTTTCGATTCTGTATGAGAGCCTTTGTAAGTACTTTTTGGGGCACGATACCAAGTGCAAGTGTTAAAAGTACAGGTATCAAAGATATTTTATAATTTGATATTTCAGATTGATTAAAGCAAATTTCAAATCGTGAATAAAGGTGGTTTCAGTTGATTGATGAATGTTTCGACCGAGTATTAAACTCTTCATAAAACCTATTCTATATACCCCGTTTTAAAGATTCCCGCTTCTAAAGATTCCTCATTTAAAAAATTACCCACTTCAGACTTCCCAGTTTTAAATATTCTTGCTTTTAGAGATTCCAGCTTTTAACATATCAAACTCGTGGGGTACAAATAGTCTTAACATGAATGTAGTGACCACGCCCCCTTCAACGCCCCACTCAAATCGAGTGTAATTTTCGAATGTTTTACTATCGTGCGGATTCTCTACGGAAAAAGCACTCAGTGCACCTCTGAAATATTAAACTATAATATTGTGGCTTTCTATTTTGCTAATTTTCTAACTTGAAGGTAAAGTTTTTCCCTCGTCATTTTTACCTTTTCTCCGAGCGGTTGCGTAAAATTAACAAGGCGTTTTTGATCAAAACACGAAGCGAAGGGTCTCGGGCGATATCTCTTTTACGCAGGTGCAAATTAAAAATGTACCGCCAGAATCAAAAAGAGGAACGGACTCTAGAGGGGTAGATTCTAAAGACAGTAACTCAAATGTTATTTCTGTGCCACTATAGCTGACATATATATTAGTGAATACCCTCTACATACCTCTTCCAGTAGCGGTTTCCATAGGGACCAGGTGCGTAGTGCCATACTGGTTCAGCTGTAACACAAGAATAGCCACATTAGCATGAGGAGAACTGGTCAGGGTAAAATATCAATTGCCACATAATTAACTGGTCCATCGTGTATTGACTCGGAAGAACTGGAATGCCAAAAATTATTCCTATAAATCAGTCAATATGAATTGTTACGCTTGTGAACTCATAAGTCAGAAATACAATTGAAGTTCACAGAAAACACCAAAAATAGTTCTCTTTGCCGTACACTTTTGGAAATTCAAGTGAGAATGTTACATTTTTGCGTATTGTTAACCGTCCAAATCCGCACAGGCAGGAATAGAGTTGTAAGCAGTAAGAATATAAAATTTGACTATTCTCGCGGTAGAGTGGCAGATAACTGGCTTACTAACGATATTGTATAATTATGCAAATTTCATAATCTCATTGAACAAGGAGTCAATATTGAAAGCAGTGAACAAAGCTCTTGAACATTCTTAAAATTTTCACAGCGATATGCTATTTGAAAGCGTGGGTAAATGGTCCACTTGAACTTTGTACTCATAAAGCGCGCGAAAAAATATACGTTAACCATTCATTGATTCATTCATTCATTTATGTGAATGAATTCCAGTTGTGTCATGCCATGTGGATTATTCATTTATTCACCGTAATGCATTTCCTGTTCTTAAATTAAAGTCAGTCTCATGAAGCGCCATTAATAACGTGGCTTCAAGCTAAGTTATTATTTCGAGTAAAATGCTTTTTGGACGTAAATCGAGTTGGATATTGTAAAATGTATCATAAATAATTTCAGGCATTAGGCAGGCAATTTTAAAAGTGGTTTTACTGTAAAATGGAAAATTATCGAAACCGAAATACGCAACGAATCTTACAGAATCAAAACAGATGGATGGTATGAACCACAAAAAAAAAATAAAAAAACAAGAACAAACAAAGAAAACGAAAGGAGTGTCACATTGCTAATATTTTGGTTTCTATTGGGTTATCATACGACGGAATACGTGACATCGCTGGTTAGCGATTTAATCGAACCGCTTGTAAATTCTATGAAAATCATTGCTCGCCGTTATCAGTTAGGCGCAGTTGAATGGTCCCTGATCTTAACAACATAAATGACATCTTTAACTCCATACAACTGAAGTGATTTCTATCAACTTCAAGGTTGTAAGATATTTGATTTATAAGAGTAGCCGTTCATTCATTCGAATGCCGTTCAAAGTCTAACCTAGGACACGCAATTCTATCTTTTCAAAAAATAAATATCATCAAGTCGCTTCGGTACCGCTCGAAAATAATGGCTTTTTCCTTAATACATCTTCAACCTAAGCCCCTAAGAAAATGAAAGAGTTTTCCCACGTGGTTGGCTAGTAAAATCACTCAAAGAGTACAGTTGTATAAATAGCGCGCGGTTTTTCTGCGGTCTGTAAACAATACTTTTAATGGTTTATATTCGTTTGACGCGTCGAGTGGCAGGTATCACGCGTGACGACATCATTGTGATTTTACTGCGACATGTGGTAAGTTGTACTATAACCCGAGGAAAGTAGTTTTACTTGGTATGAGTGTTACTGAGCATGTGCGAAGAAAATAATCGGAATTTTACTCTGAGGACCCTGAGGAAATATTATCATGAAATCGACTTTTTTCTTTTATTTTATATTTCGGAGACGCAGTAGAGATTTTGATATTCTTCGCATATTTTTAGGACTAAAAATCAGCCTTCTGATAGGCGATAAATATTATTATTTCTCACCAGCCGTTCAACCGGTTTCGCTCCATCTCACACGCCTTTTTACAAAATCGAGGTTCTTGAAATAAGTCGAACGAGGAATTATTGCTAGAATAGTACTGACTACGATAATAACTGCTGTAAACATACCCACTCCGAAGTAGAATAAACCGATCCCTATGCCAGCGGCAAACAGCATGGTGAAGTAAGTCGCGTCTTTGAATTCAGGTTTTTCATCCGGTTTTCCCAGTTTCATGTTGCCGTATTTGGAGAAGTACAGAACGATTATAAATACAGCCCAGGCATCTTGGGTACCAATGTACATCCAGGTAAAGGTAGCGGTGATCCATGTTTTCCACTCGGCCATCGTGGAATTCGCTATCTCCGGTTTCATTATGCACCAAGCGACAAAGACCCAAATAATCTGAGCAGAAACAAGCGACACCACTGGATTTAAGCGGATATTTATTCCAAGATGATAGCTGCCCATTTTGCACCATTTCCAATTGATGCGAAACCACCGACATCGGTTGGCAGCATCTTCTTGTTCGCTACTACAAGTACTATTATCCATTTTATTAACGAGTTGGTTCGTTTTCGACTTCAACGTATCTTCAATAGCACTACCGGTTTCCTTAGCCCTTTCCGCGCTTTTATGTCACTAATTTATTAATATATTCAAACCAATATAGGTATGACAGGTGGCTGAGGTCCGCATGTGACGCCCACCATCAGCCAGCCAAATCTTATTTAGTCTCAACTGACTATTAGTAATTTTACTCTGAAAGAGAAAGTGCTAGATAAGAAATAAGTATTTTTACTCAAATTCGATTTTTATCAAAGATTTAAACTTGAATCTTTCATACTTTTATACTGTTGTTCTACAATAACTGAGTTATGTGACTCAGGACGGATACGAATTTTTTAGAAAAATGTGTATTTGCAGGGAATGTTACATATTTCCGCCATAATCTTCGAGCGTATTTTATTTCTGCCGATCACAGCCGTTTTGACAACTCGTACAATATTGTTTTTTAAGGCCATCAGGCTATTTCAGTGATGACAATGATATCAGTATCCAATTTCGTTTTACTGTTTTCTTTACAAACTCAATCGTTCAGCTTGTGAGAAGAAAAGTTTTGATCAAAATAAGGGTATCGTCAGCTCGGAGATGTTTCAATATTAATAACCATTTGAATTTATGATCGTACAGCCATGTTATCCGGATATAGAGAGAGAAAAAGGCGTTCAGTATCAAAAATTTGAACTATGGCATGGACTCAAACCTTCGACATTACTGAACATCAGTCGGATGTCACGGAAACAGACATGTGAGCCGTCTATGCTCTGCCTGAAGCAAGATGGACCGATGACCACCGTCGAAACCGTCATAAGCTAAATAAAGTTTAATCCTTGCCAGCGAGTGACAGTCAAGAGGGCTTTACGATGTTCACAATGATAGAACGTTAATTTGGTAATATATGAGAACCACTAGATTTTTCAGAGAGTAGAAATTTGGCCTTACTTAGAGAAAATTGTCAATTATTTTAGTTTAATCGCAACGACTGCAAAGTAGCTTAGTAAAAAAAGGAAGTGTGTTTTTTTCTCACACTTCATCGTTTCTTTAAGCTTAAATTTACATTCAGTGATCGCTATCATTCAATAAATATTCACCAGAGATTCATAGTATCCCAGTCTCGCCGTAAACAGTAATATTGACCACTGCTATTAACTTAGTCGTTTTATGCATGACTGATCATGCGTTTGGTTGAGATCATTTGCATTTCGCGGCGCGAAACCAATTAACTTTTTTCGTTTTTTCTTTTCGGTGGAGGTTATTTGTTTTCCTTTGTATGAAAAAAAGTGTTACTTCACGCTCCATATATATTCAAGTATTCGTATACCATGAGGATGTTGCGTTGTTAAGCAGCTTTCGAACGAGGATTAAAGGCAAAGTTTACACTTACGTTGATGAAATAGTTGGCGCCCATTCACTGGTCCCTGCGAAACAGTGTGATTGACGTCACTGATAGTTTGAATCTCATTTCCTCCCACGATGAATTTATAATATTGACATTCGATTAAGGAGGCTTACTCGTTTTAATTCCTTTTAATTCCTTTTTTACCCTAAGCTTTTCAGTAATGTGGGGTTCTATTCGTTACGTAGCCAAGATAAATTTCGAATTACACTCGGTTTCTAAGGTCCTGTACGCAATTTCTAATCGATACGACAGGGAGGAAATATTTTACTCTTGGCAGAATTAGAAATAATAATACTAAGACATGCAAATTCATATCAAGATGGTGTCTGGAGGTAAACTCGAAGAGGGGAGGTAGCTATTATTGAGTGTTAAAAAATATCTGAGGTAATACATACGCTCTGATGGTCAAGAACCTATCGTATATTGCTCTATAAGAGCAATAAACCGCACTTTCTCTCGGTTTACCGGCGTGTTAACCCATGCGGGATGTTGGGAGAATAGAGAATCAAGAATAGTTTATAAATCACAAGCTGGCCGGAAAAGAATTATTTATAAACTTCTCGTGTTCTCCCATCATCCCTGGTGGATTTTTATGCCAGCAAACCAAGATAAAGTGCGGTCTATTGCTATAATATAATTAAATCGAATATTTTCCGTCTTCCTGTGAAAACATCATGCAAGATCCTCACTCATATCTTTTGAAATCCTCTAGTTTTATTTTCCAAGCAATTTTGTACCACAGCAGCACTTGCACACAGCTGTGGCACGTTACAATTATTTTTTTTTTTTTTTTGGTTAGTTTCCCGTCCGTTCTTCAATTAAAACGGGCTTTGAAGATTATATCTGTAAATTGGATGCCTTTTGGCGATGGATTATGTGGGGTTATTTACAGAACTGTCATTGGCTTTATTCAAATTAATAGAGATGTGTCAGAACCTGTCGCTTCATCGGTGCCTCAATGATTGGGTTTAGTCAAGCTACGTATTAAGCCTTTGTTGTTCTGCAATCATTGTGTATGACAGAAAAACCTCATTCAGAGCCACGTGCAGAGTCTTAAGTCAGAGTTGATAAACACGCGACATCGCCATCCAAGATAATTGGAAAAATACATGATAAATGTACACTTCTTGCTTAATTTCCGCCTGCAAGTCAGGCGTAATTTTGGCGAGCGAGTGCTTAGTACTTTCTTAACGAAAATTATGGCTGCCATCTTTCATTTCAATGGCAGCGGAAGGCTGGGGAGGAAAAGAAATCTGTACCAAGAGGATGGACGACGGTCAAAAAAAAGGAGAGAGGCGGGGATGGTGAAATGAAGATTACGCCTGCCCGAAGTCATTGTCATTTTGCAAAACTCCGTTCCGTGACGCGCAAGTAATCAAGGGGATCAAGGGGTGTTTTGCTTTCCCCTTTGAGCAGGCGTCTTCTCACTCTTCCCCGGCCCCCTACCCCCACCGTCCACTCCAACTCCAAATCAAACATGGCCGGTCGGATAAACGATTGCGAGCTTTTAACGTTAGCTCGCACTAATAAGACGCCCGCACTGCAGGCTAGTTTAATTTTAAAGTCCTGAGTCATGTTTAAGCTTCCCAAAGAAATAAAAAAAGTTGAATAAACACTACCAACACGAGATCTAAGCTTTTGACCCGAAGGCGATGGGGGCAGGGTAGATTAGACAAAATATTTTGTCTAGTAAATACCAGTACCCGAAGCTGTCTCCCTTGCTAGCACACTTTTCATGAAATTTTTTCAATGAAAGCCTCATCTCCGAACAGGGGCGGCATTCGAAAAAGGAGAAGAACCTCAGAAAGAGGTTGGCTCCTCGGTCGTCCTTCTCAACCGATTCTACTAAATTTGAGACATACTGCCATGTTGCTTTCTATCTCGTCGAAAGTTCTGTGCAGTGAGGCAATGTCCTGACGTGATTGTTAGCCTCAAGAGATAGACTTTAAGGAGCCTACAAAGAATAGTAAACATGCTGAGGAAAGTTCAATTTTAAAATGTGCTTTATAGTTCTCGATACTTCGATTCTGAATAATGATCTTGTCGACCTAAAGTGAATTTTTGAGCTATTTGAGCCATACTTTGGAGCAATAAATATTATTTTTAAGTTTCTATATGCCCAAGGAGTACTGTTTAATAGACGACTTTGAGTTAAATCCCATAACTTTTTTCAACGCAACGCTGCGGCTGCGCAATTGTCGAACCGTGAAGTGGAGTAAACAAGATTTGAGTAACAGTGAATATATCTGCGCGGGTTTTGTGCGCGCAAAAAATTTGGGCCTACATTTTTCACTTTTAACAACGAATGTAGCATATGTTATGTTTTAGGTTTTTTAACTACCAAGCCAGTATTACTCTGGGCTACGCCTGAAGCTACTCTCACACATCTCTCGTGAGTTCCAAACTTTCGCGTGCTTCATATCTAGACGAACGCCCGCGGGCGCATCAACCAGCCTGGTAAACCCATTTGAGCTTTTAATCTGAATTAAGTAAAACTACTCATTAAGTAGTATTACATTTTGTTGACATAAGCCATATATGATGAGCTTATTGTTATTTTTAGCCACCAATAATGCATTATGCTAGTGGTTCAGGAAAAATTATAGTTTTGTTTTTGGCAGAGACGCCCAAAACAAGGACATATTTTCTCCCAGAGCCATCAGAATAAAGCGGTATTGCCGTTTCACAATCGTTTTTACAAAGCTTGTATTACGATCCATCCATTACTTACATGATTATCAGCGAATCGCGGAACCATCACTGGGAATCGCGGAGCTCACTTTCCACGACCGAGACATGTTCGATCCGGTCTTACTCTGTTACAATTCAGTTGAAACTCAGACGGAATTGTTTGACAGATTCGCTGGACCTGGAAAATCCTCTGCAACGGCCTGAAAAAATTCTGCCATTACTAAGAATCCTTCCCACGGTTTTGAGGAGCGATATTTCTTCGCCAATTTGTTCAGCAGTACAACTTTTACTCTTACCAAATTAACATGAATTCGAATTTACCAACTGGAAAGTGACTTCTCATTTTGTGAAAATATTTCCTATTCATGACGATTTTAAGCGGGCTGATTTTAAACACCTATTTTACACAGCTATCTGGTGTTTCGTACTTTTGCATGTTCCTAATAATTTAAACAAAAACAAAATTCTATTTGAGGAGGAGGTATCTATCGTAATGTTACCGCATTTGAACTGAAGTCCAGGTACCAGTGGCCGTCTGTTTGGCGTACCTTGTGGCTACGTTTATTTTGTGCATAATTAGCCACCTATAGTGGTGTGCTGCTCTTGACGAAGTGATGAACAGCTAAGGAAGTAGAAGGACATGGCTGACGAAAAAGGTAAGAACTATTAGCTTTTGGATATCGATATTATCATTAATTCCAAGTGTAGTATGATCCATGCCATGCATGTGTCATGAAGAATCATTTTTTGAAGACTGTGCTTCTCACTTTTCCAGGAAAAAAAAGGATACTCAGTTATGCTTGGTATCTGTTTATTATTCCTTCTACCTTCTGGTAAGTGTACGTCCAAACAAGATAAAAGTACCTCGTATCATTTAGTTCAAACAGAACTTATTCACTGGCCCTTCTTAATTCGTGATTTACCCAGAGATGATTGGTAAAAACAGAGAAGTCACCTTGA